GATATACTGACCGACATTTTGAGGAACAGATTGAAGCACCGAAGCAAAGACACAACAAATCATTAAGATGATGGGTCTGATGACTCAGATGAAGAGTAGGGGGAGAGAAACACTTGAGATCGCACGCGAGACTAGTGCAGACGGCTTTACTTACTTTATTCTTTGTCTTCAATCCTTGTGGGAAATTTTCTCCACGCTCCAGCTAGATAGAAATGTACCACATTTAGGGTTGTCTCTGCCAAGAGCCTGACACCCCCCCCCCCTTTCTCTCTCTCTTCGCGACAACGGTTTTGAAAACATTCTTTGCCCATTGTTGATACATATCCACCAAACACCATAAACAAAACTTCGCATGCGTCTCTGATCCCCTGAACGATCACAAACAACAACCGCAAACAGGTTACGATGTAACAAAGGTTTTTTAACAAAGGTTTTTTATCAAAGAACTTTTTGCTTTGCAAGTTCGTACTCTAATGCAATCGCTACACATTCAAATGTGCACCGTGTCCTGGCTGTAGTGGTTATGATACTTGGCTCTTGAGGCTGAGGTTGCCGGTTCGAATCCGTGCTTTGCACTGAGGACGGCCTTTGGACCCAGACGTACGGACCTAGAAACTACTCTGCATCGTCTCTAAGACCCTGAACGATTACAAACATTGCTGCCCACTGGGATCCCCGTCTCAACCATAATGGGGAGAAGCGTTGGGTATTGTGTAAATCTTGCATTTGTACCGACAGGTGCACAATGCGGGCGGCATGCGGCACGGCACCTTCCCAGCAGCGAGGTTTATTTTATTTTACTTTATTTTTAATGTATTTATTTTAAATTAAATTATTTACACAATTCTACTGTTCTACAGATACAAAAGAGGGTACCCAACCCACACAGAACAGATGCTGTTCAAGTACAGTTGTACAATTTTATTTTGTTTTGTTCCAACTGGGCATCAGAAAAAAGCCCAATTGGAACTGAAAAAAAAAGTTGCCAAATAGGTCGGCGGGACATCAATCTTGACTCTTGAGTCTTGGCCCACCGGTGGCTTCGGTCCTGGGTGTAGTAGAGGGTGGTGGCCAGGCCTCAGGAGGTGCCCGTAGTACTCATCCATTGAGCGGTCAGATGGGTTGCGGGGACCCAGGGGGATTCACCCCAAGATGGCGCCATGATACCGGAACCTATGGCTGATGCTCACATCGCAAGTCGTGATCTGCGCCAACGCTTGCCGGACTAATCCAAACATCTTTGTGCAGACACTACCCTAACTCTAATGTCAAGGGCTCGACCCGGGGGCACAGGTGGTGGTCCAGGCATATGCAGCAGTCATCCCCCATCTGTGCCGCATCCCGCAGACTCCATGAGTGCATGGGCAGCGAACCGCCCTTCCATTGATCTCTCCTTTTTTGCCCCTTCTCTTTTTTTTTTTTTTCCTCTCTTTTTTTCTTCTTTTTTTTTTCATCCCACACTGGACCACAAGAAATTTTTGAAGCGGATGCAGGGGCATGGTCCCATTAGCAGTGGGATAGGAGTGTGGCCAATCCAGTGTGACACTGAGTGGGAGCGGCCTGATAGGTTCATTACGAATTTCTGGGCAGAGAAAACAGGAGAAAGGCCAAAAAAAAGAGAAGAAACAGATACCTCCTACCGGAAATCATGGCAGAGTGCTTCCCAGTCATCAGATCATAAAGGCGGTGGTTCAAACAAACGACAGTGAACAAAATAACTGCCACATATATTTTTCTGGAATAAACTCGACTTCTGTCAGCAGTGATCATGACGCCCTCCATATATATATATATACTCCGTGATTGAAGGAGGGCTCCACCCCATGAGATAACTGCACAACAACAAGCAAAATACTGAAAATCTTCTATCCAGTGAGCCTATGGCCGACCCGACTGTCTTTTGGGGTTGGCCATACTCCCAACGGATTGAAAATATTGTGGCGGAAAGCTTCTTTTGCACCGGCATGCCCAGTGTCAAGGAGAGGAGGAGGAGGGGAACAAACATCTCCTTCCTTTCTTGGGTAATGCATGTAAGTTACTGACCGTGGGATCACTCACGAGTACTGCACGGCAGGATTTGGGTCACTCGACTGCCACACAAACTCTTTTCTATCCTATCCCCTTGCTAGTGGGACCATGCCCCTGGTGGCCACCGATCCAAGCCTTCGACCTTCATCTATTTTTCTGGGTGCATATTTCCCCAGCGGGGGACAAGTTCCAGTGCGCTCGCACTCCGTAGTATTTGCACAGTTGCCCGCACGACGTGTGCTTGTAAGTATGGTTTGTTGTACACTCCAGCAAATCATAAATGCCAATCGACACACACACAGTCGTTTCTTTTTTGTGTGGAAGAACGACGCAGAGCAGTAGTCGCAAAATACTACTGCACATTTCTAGGATTCCGTCTACTGCTGTGATGGAAGAATCGATTCACCCAGGGTGGGACCACCTATGTGAAAGAAATGCTCCGAGCGGAGGGGTAAGGAAAGGCGTCACTGCCGTCACGAACACAACCACCTCGAGGGTAGCTGGACAGGGATAGGGAAACTTCAGCCGGCGCACCCAGGCAGGTCGAATATGCAAGGGAGCAAAAAATCCATCGCTGAATTTAAGGCAACGGGCGTAAAACGGTGGCAATCAATCTCCTTTTTTTTTTTTTTTTTTTTTTTTTGGCCAGTCAATCCTCTTCATGCTGAGAATCAATAATCCCAATTGTATTCTACTGTCTTGTGGATGCTCCATAAATGGGATTGGACTCATTGGAGCCATGTTCGTTTTTCTGGTCAAGAGAAAAGGTGAGGTATATAATCATATTCATATATATTACTAATATTAGAGTAATTCCACATTCCCCCGAGAATTGATGGATAGCCTGTGTTATGTCTTTTAGTACTGTATGGAACAAATCAAGTTGGTTTTTAACTTTATGCCATTGTACCATGAGTTCTTGTTGAATGTATTGTTTTATCATATCTGTTGCCTCTTGCCCTGCTATGCGGACCCCCTCAATGTCATGGATACAGCGCTTTCTCCCGAGGGACCACATGACCGCTCTCCTCCCTAGCTTAAACATGTTGCTTTCAAAAGCATTGTTAGTGGGAGAGGTCCATGCCTCGCATCATAGTGTGAACGGGGTCTGGATAGCATCCGTCCGATGGGAGGGCAGGCTTGCCCAGAAGGACAATCAGGTGGAATTCAAGAGAGGCTACTATATTTGTTTTAAAGATTGGACTAAGAAAAAAATAGATGTGTATAAGAGACAGGAGAGAGAGAGAGAGAGAGAGAGAGAGCTAGAGATAGGCCGTTGGCCCCCCCGAGTGGCACAGTCGTGTGTGCTAGACAGTTTCATCGGACTTTCACGGACTCATCCGCAGGTAGAGAGAGAGAGCTGTCTCTTATACACATCTAGATGTGTATAAGAGACAGCACAAAGTGGTCGGCTTGACAGCTCCATCAGGATTCGAACTCAGAACGTCTGCAACCTGGTCACCTTGACAGCTCAAATGGTGTACCGACTGAGCTACCGTCGTCACCCAAATAGAACTCCCGGTCATTATAGTCGTATTCGGTGCACTTTTCAGTCCAGATACAGCTATAATAACCGGGCGT